AAATGATAGCAATCGTTTGTAAATGATAGAAAATGATAGGAAACGATTTCTATCATTTGTAAACGATAATAAAAAAAACTGATTATTATCGATTGATCAATAATCGATAATAATCGGTGAGGGTGTTGGTAATCGATTGCCAATGAATATGGTTGGCAATCAATTTCTAACCGTATCAGAAATTTGCTGATGATGGTAAGGTAGATTGTGAGGAAGTAGTTTGCTTTTTTATCATTGTTAATCATAAAGTTAGTTTTTGTGTTCAAAGGAATTTAAATCAAATAAAGCAGTCACATTACCTTTATTTTTTTTTAACGGTCCATCAATGTATCTGGCTATGTCAGCTAACTGAATTGTGCGTTGTTTCATATCACCACTTTCTAAGGTAATATTCGCAATAATCTTACTATCTCCAATAATCTCAGCGATCTGAACCTTATGGTAAGGCTTGCTCAAAACTGTGTCTTGGAGTTGAATAAATTCCCCGGATATTAACCTGTTTTTTCGCTTATTTTTCGGTCCCTTTTTTTGAAGCAGCTTGAGCTCATTTTGAGCACAATCATTGGCATCCTTTTGGTGAAGATAAGACTCGAGAGAGCTGCAGGCAGCTAGTTTAGCCACAGGTTTATCATTCTTACTAAAAAAAAAAGATGTATTAAATATATTAGAAAAAATCAAAAAAGTTCTTACCTTTGCAATTGAATCTTGCTGTAAAAAGTAAATATATGTTAATGCATAGAATGAAATAAATTTATAAGACTCAAAAAATCTTACTTTCGTAATTTGGATTTTCCAATAAATAAATGAACGGCTACAACATCTTGACATTCATGACCACTGATTACATTGAAACTGCATGAACACGCAAATTTTCCATTTTTACGCATAACACACAACTGTTTTTCATTGTTTTCGTTGGACTCTGGTTTATTTTCTTTATTTACAACATCATCTTCCAAGTCAGTGGTAGTGAACTGGGTAACATGCCAAGTGTTCTGATCAATTTCTGAAGCAAAACCAATAAATTATTTGCGAATTAAAAAAAAAATTAAAAAGGACTTACCTTGCACAAGATTTTTTTTATACAACAATTCTCCCTGTTCATTTATTTTTTCTTTCTTTCGTTGTAGATCTGACTTTGTCGGAGGCTTGCCTTCTCCTTTCCAAAATCTTAGAAAAAATTATGTTATTATACTTTAAAAAAAAACTATTTTCATATTTACCTTTCCATCTCCCCAGCATCTACACACATCGATGTACCAATCTTTTCAAGATTAGAATGTAGAGATTTGGTGTTCCTTTCTCGATAGTGTAATATCATGTCCTTTTTGAAATAACTTTCTAGTAACATGTTTGTTTTCATAGGACAACTATCCCGTTTATAATCTGGCCAGGTATCTATAATAAGATTAATATAAAATTAAAGATTACAAAAAATAAAAATATTTTTACTTACCAATCCAATCACCAAACCAGTATACCCGAAAATAAGATATAATAGTCTCTGCTGTAGCTAATGAGATAACTCCAGTGGCAGCCTAAAATTTTTTCGCGTCTAGCAAAACAGTTTTCCATTGATCAAACTCTTCTTGGTCCCGAGATCGTTTAACGAAACGAAATTGATAAAAAGTTTGGTCTCTAAGCCATTGATCATTTAGGTTTTTTACAAACCATTCCTTAATTGCATCAGCTAGATAGATGTCAATAAATAAAACTCGAATGAAAAAGAATTAAAGATCCAAAAAACTTGCCTTCATGCCAATCACACAAAACTACTTGTGTATTAGGGAAGTGTTTTCTAGCTGCCATCAAGTAAGGTTCCCACTTGTCCATAGCTAACCATTGAGAGTTCAGTCAAATATCATTTTTGATGCTATATTCAATGAACTCCAAATAACGAAATTTATAGCAAGAATCAGAAAATCATTTGTTAAACAAACCATAATACTCACTTGTTCAAACATCAGACTGACAACTGGTATGGTTTCTTTATCACTTATGAATGTTGCTACAATTCGACCACGAGGTTCATCTGATCTAATCATAAAAGCAGTATTTGGAAAGTTTAGATCATTGCGACGACTAGTAGAGTTCACAGCCAAAAAATCTGGATATTTGGACAACAGTTCTGGCATTATAGTTGATGCGATACCAAGAAGCACAGCTTGATCTTTTGAATTGTCAGCATCTTTAATGCCATATTGTTTTGATATAACAACGTGTTCTTTCTCATAAGTATCCATTATAGAACAAACCTGTAAATTAAAGTAAATTAACATGCAAAAATGAAGAAATAAAAAACAAACTAATTAATTACCTTTTCAAACTCTAGTGCACTTGGATAATGCAATTTTTTGTCATACTTGAGGGCGTTTTGAATGGCCTCGAGATTGGGTGCAAATTGAGTAAAAATTGGTTGAACATGGTTGGCAGGAGTGCTAGGGTTTATATTAAGAATCTTCGCATTGTTCATAAATTCTGAAATACAAGCATAATCAATTAATTGTAAATTTGAACACTTATTTTTCTAAATTTACCTGTTGCCATTACGGAGGGAGTTGTATTTGTGGCTCTGCTTGAGATTGTTTTTCTAACTGATGTTGCCATTCGATGTGATTTTTGCCAGATGTGATCAGGATCATGATCACCAGAGCATTCAATATTACAAAAATTGAGCAGCTTGTTTAGGAGAACCACGATGTGGCCTTTCCAGTTGCACTTATCCTTGTGACAACCATTCTATTTAATAAAATTCAAGTTAGTTTTTTTATTAATTAATCCAAAGAGGATGGATCTTAGATACCCGAGTAGAACATCAAATGTATTCTATGTACGCATTCTTTGAATGAGAACATTGCTTTGCGCTCTCATTTACAAGCGTAATAGCTTTGACATCCCCTTCTCTTATCCGACTCTTATACGTGTAGTTCTCTGGTAAAATTTTATAACCATCACCTAACTTTCCACCTCCTAATGACATAATGTCAAAAGTGTACAAGTCTAACACTGAAGCAACCTCTGTGAGCGGCACTTGCATGCATCGTACGTTTGGCAGCAATAGCCGCCAAACAATGCTTTTTGTCTTGGGCTTAATGATACTAGAAGGCAATGATTCGTTCATTTCTTGTTCACAAAAAAATCGAATTTCACCTGATACGACCAGGTTTCACCAAAAAAGTCAGATTTTACATGATATGACCAGTAAAATTCAGGTTTCACCGAAAATGTCAGATTTTACATGACACAAACAATAAACGCAGGTTTTACATAATAATCGCAAAAATAACAAATTTTACATGATACAATTAATCAACACAGATTTTCCCTTTTTGCAACCCAGATTTCATCCTGTCGTATTATTTTATAATAATTTATATGAAAATTATAAAAATTAAGATAATAAAAATTCGTTTAATTGATTTATATATAAAATTATAAAGAATATGGAGTTTATGATGTTTTTAGAGTTTATAAAAATTATAAAAATCATGAAAATTATGAAAATTATGAAAATTATAGGAATTTTCAATCATAACAACATATAAAAAAATTCTTTTTTTAATTATATAATATTTTTTAAAAATAGATATAATTCCTCCTGTTAATACAGTATGATACAATAATATGCAGTATGATATAATATAATATAATATAATTACAGTATAATATGTGATATAGTAGATTTATATTAATATTATAATATTACTGATTTTTTTCTAATTTATATGAAATTTAACTATATTATAATTAATAATTTTGTTTTACACTAAAGTATTAATACAAAAATAAAAAATAAAAGCTAAATTAATATAGAAAATAATAAATTTACCAAGAAAATTGTATAATTAATGTATTCAAATAAAGATAATAGTGGAATAAATATAAAAAAATAAGTAATACAAGAAAGAAAAAGAAAAAATAGAAAAAAATAGAAAGAAGTAGAAAGTTATTGAATTAAATATATAATTCAAATATCATCATGACTAATTTTTACTGTGGCTGTATTTTTTATTCACATATTTATATATTGAATTAATAATAATATACTAAATTAGTAATAATATATAGTTAAATCTCTTTATAGTTACATTTATTTATAATTACACCTTTTTATAGTCATCCTATTTTGTTTTCATATTTATATATAAATATAATAAAAAACTTTTTATAATTACATCTTCTCTATAATTAGCAAATTTTGCTTTTCCAAGGATAATGACTATAAAAAAATTTAATTATAATTTTCTTGATTATTTTTTATATTTATTTATTTTATACTATATATAAATTTTTTATTTTTGTTATTAATATTTTAATATAAAACAAAATTGTTAATAATAATATAATTATTTCTTTGTATAATAAGTAAAAAACTAATAATTTTATAATAATTATATCAAAATATAAGTATTATATTATAATTAAAGTTTTGTTTAGATCAGATTTGAAATTAATTCAAACTAATAATTTCAGATTAGATCAGATTCATTTAATCTAAAAATTGTAAAATAATTTTTATTAATAATTTTTATTTTTACTAAAATACTTGTATTTTGTGTTTAAGTAGAATTATTTAAAATATAATTATATATATATATATCTACAAATTTTTGTTTAATCCAATTAATATTGAATGAGAAATAATATTTTTTTAGGTTAATTCAAAATATTTCAAATTGAATTTGAGCTTCAATCTGATTTGACCTGAAATATACATTTCAGATCAGATTACAAATTGAATCTGATAGTGTTCCTATGAATTGAACTGAACTCGAACTGAATCATTATATGAGTTTGAGTCTAATTCGAGTTCGATTAAAGATCAGCATATAATATCATATACTGATTTGTAGCTCTAAATATAAGCTACAAGCACAATTTATAGTATTAATAAGAATTAGAAGTTTACATAGTGATAACTAAAGTATTTTTATTTTTATGTTTATTAAATTTGATTATAAATACTATATAACTCTCTGAATAATTATTATTAATAATAACTATCTTATATCAATTTGTGGCTCTTATTTTTGATTACAAGTTTACTTATAACTGTAGTTTATGATTACTATAGCAAAATAAATATTTATTATGCTAAAACTAAAGCAAATTAAAATCATAATAATTAAAATTATTTTTTAAATTCATATAACTTCTTAAATATTCATCCTAAATATTAACTATCTTATATTAATTTGTAGCTCATGTTATGATCTATAACTTTACTTAGAACATCAACAAATATTTACTTGAACTCGAATCAAACTTTTTGTCAAGTTTGAGTCTGATTCAAAATTTGAACCGAACTTGAACCAGACTTTTAATTAGGTTTGAATTTTTGAACCAGACTTTTGGTTAGGTTTGAGTCTGATTCAAGCTCAAACTGAACCAGACTTGAACTAAATCAGACTTTTTTTCAGAACTCTAGAATCTGATTTGATTAAAGCACTAATTATAACTATATTATATTATATTATGTTGCATAAGTATTAGAATTTTAAAAAGCTTGACTTATGATATATATATATATATATAATTTAATTAATAAAAGTTAAACTTATATTATTAAATTATATATAAAATTTAGACTTGAATAACTCAAAAATTAGTTCATTAAAAGCTCTAACAAGTATTTTATTATATTGTACTAATATAATATAAAAAATATATAAATATAAGTATAAATAATAAAGTTCAAGTTTATTTTAATCCATTTTAAGTTTATTTTAGTTTATTTGAGTTAAGTTTGTTTGATTTTGAATTAGAAAAAGTTTTTGATTAAGTTTTTTTTTAATTTAAATCTTGCTCCAAGTTTAATTTTGTTATTTTAGTTTTATTTTGTCAAGAAGATATTATTATTATAAAAATACTATTATAATTATAAAATACAAAGTATTTTGTCATGCTATTATCATTTTGAAAAACTTTCATATACAAAAACTCAAAATAGTAATACTATTATTTTATAAAAAATTAAGCAAACTGAAATTAACTTTATAAATTGAAGGCTGATATAAAAAGTTGTTTTAAATATATGTATTTTATGAAAGTATAAAGTTAATCAAAATTTTATTAATGTGACTAGCTTGTATATTATAAAACTGATAACAATATTAATAAAAATGAAAGTTTGTCAAAATTTACAAATATCAAATTATTATTACTTTTTTACTAGTGTGATCATTATAAATAAATTAGTATAATTTGTTTTTTTCCTTAGAATTTGGCATGTAAAATGATTGTGTTTGAAATGTTAGGTTATCGAATCAACAAATAAAAATTGAACTTTTATAATTCTATCGATATTTCAATTATTTTCAGTGATCAGCAAGTGTCCTTATACTTCTATACTTAGTGTACAAAATCTATAATTACGCTTTTTTAAATATTGATAGTTTTTGTAATGATGCTAATAAATTATAACAAAATTATAATAATTTTCGAGCTGTTGATGTGTATATGATGAGCGATTTTGTGCACGGATTACCCACTATTATTTGAATTACATCGTTCATATTAAAATGAAACCATAAAAAGATAAATTTCCAGATAAAATTAAAGTTTAGCCTCTGGTTTTCCAGCTTTCAACGGCCTACTCGATAAATTAGTCGTAACCCCCACATCAGCCGTACTCGGCATCCCCACCATCTCAGCCAACCGCAAAACTCTCGAGCTAACAGTCATATTATCTCGCCGATTTTTGCCTTCCCGCCTAAATTTACCAACATGCTCGACAAAATCCCATAACTTTCCGCTAGCCTCGATAGCTCCTTCGGCGTTCCGTGTTGGGACGTAATCAGGGCATAAAGCTATAGTTGTTGGGACTTTAGAGTTTTGGCTTCGCTCCACCTTGATGATACCTATTTGCTCGTATCTGATAAAAGCATTTTTTAACGTTTCTTTACTTATTGCTTCGAAATATGAAAGATCGCCTTGGTAATAGAGTGTTTTTCCAAATAGTTGGCATTTGTTGTGGAAATCTCGTTCATTAAACCAAACGATCGGGATTGTTTTTTGTGTTGTAGTTTGGTCGACTATCATAGTTGTTGGCTCGGGAGAGGAGTATGGAGGTGTCATGGAAAAGAGGGCGATCGCTATTATCATGTATAGTTAAATTACTATAATTAATATTTGTATTGTATTAATAAAAAGGTATTCTTACCAGCTAACCAATAAGTTTCAATAAAAGGCCATATTAAGAAACAGTAAAAATCTACAAACAATATCATATTAAATAAATAAGTTAAATTTGTTTTGTGAATTAAAACAAATTTCCATAAATCAACGAGAAAAAACACCATATATTTCCCGTCCGTTTTTTCTTTCTGTATCCGATAGCTCTACAAAGTCATCAACATATGCGAATACATTATCATTCTTAACAATAACATAATATGACAATTTATATTAATAATGTTCAAGCTTAAAATCAAGAAAAACACTAGAAAAGTTGATTAAATACCTTTAACCCATCCAGCGTTATTTCCAAATTCTCCTTAATTTTTCCAGGATGATAAACAAACTCAACCTTCAATAACTTTGATAGAAAAGTCACTTCCTCAAGGACAACGTTAAAGGTTAAACGTTGAGTGGATTTAGCGCCACCCTGCTTTATTTTTGTATACATGGCGGCCGATAATATTGCTTTTGATGTTACATAGATGCATGGATGTGAATTTAAAATTTATAACATAATTTATAAATGACAAATATCATTAAATATCTTACCTTCAGATACAAACAAATGCATAACCTAATTTTTATTATCATTGTAAATAAAATGAATATTAAGAGTATAATAGACTCAAATATTTAATAACTTTCATTACCTGATTACGATAGAAACTTAATTCAAATCTTTTTTCTGCATAAAATACAGGTTCGAGCAAGTCTCTTCTCTCTTTAATTAAATCCTTTAAAACTGCTATCGCTCTATCAAACAAAATCAGTAAAAATACATCTTTACTATATAGTACGCATTTCGCATTTTAGTTGAATTTTGTTTACCTATCTACAACCTCCTCAGTTGTCATATCACCAAAATCATCTACTCTGCCTCCCTTTGCCCGAATTGCGGATCGAAGCCATTCCACGCGACGAACTAGTTCGTTTCGTCCAACACCCTTAATAGAGGATAGTCTTAGTGTGGGATAAGCACAGAATTAGGAGACAAATCACTGATAATCAAACGCGTTATCCAATACTTACCCGACCACGTAATGTTAAAATTATTGTGCCCACTTAATAAAATCGAATTTAAGATTAGAATCAATTACAGTAAGTGTAAATATAAATAGAAAGTAATCGTGCACACCATAGATTAAATCGCTTTACCTAGAGCAGTCGGCATAACTACCGATACTGCATTCTACATAACAGTTTCACATACGTTATTTATTAAAATTATTAATCAAAGTTATTTCCTTCAATTTAGGCACACACTTACTATCTCAGAAAGGACCCTAAATCAGGAAGAATATGAAAACAAATTAGTGTCTATTTTAATAATTAATAGTGATTGCTTGAACTTACCTATAGCCTAAAGCCCTTAATAAGGTAATTTTTTGATGATCATGTGTAGGATCAAAATAACTGTGATTATTAGGATTACAAAGTTAAAATAAAGAGTTTCGGAATATTGATACAATAAAATTGCAAGTAAAAAACTTACTTTCTTCGTTTGATTTGCTCTTTTAGAAAGAGCTGTAGAGAATAAGGCTTTGCAAAGCGGACTATGCATACACACCCCCATATATATACACACACACATATGAAATTATACATATAGCATTACAATAAAATCCATGGATAAATTAATTAAAAACTTCAAGAATGGATAAATTTCATTACCATCAATTCGCCCCATTTTCAACTGTAATAGTCTCGTATTGGTAACTATTCCCCAAAGACTTTCTTTTTCTTTTGGATTTCCCAATAATTCATTATAAAAAGATTCTGTTTCGATTACTTTATCATATTGTATTGACATAGGCACAATCCAACAATCTTTTGCTTTGCCTGATAAGATACAATCCAATACAATCTTTAGAATCCCAAGTTTAGGCGGCAGCAATTTTCCAGTTCGACTACGCGTACCCTCAATGAAACATTCGATGTTATGCCCACGTTCTAGTAATCCTTCTACGTATTCTTTCACCACACTTGCATAAAGTTGATCTTCACCCCAAATACGACGAATAAAAAATGCTCCACCACGTCTTAGTGCTCCACCAACTATCGGTAGATCTAAATTGTCACCAGCAGCAATATGGGGTAAAGCAAGACCAAGTCGGAAAAATATCCAAGAGATAACAAGATAATCAATATGCGATTTGTGACATGGAAGGATAATAAGAGAATGAGAATTTTGAGCAGCGCGAATCGCAACGCGACGGACCTAAAAAAATAAAATAAAATATTTATAAGACTATAGCTTTTTATCATTGAACATTAATTATACTTACTTCTAGAAATTCCGGCCAATGTATACGAATGCCTTGATGATACATTCTTACTAATATATTATTTACAAAGAATCCGAAAAATCTAAACAAAAATGTTCAATTTTTTTTTAATCAATATAAAGATCTTTTCGTAAATTCGCCGAAAAACCTACCGAATGAATCCCAAACTATTCAGGTCGGCTACTAATTTGTCGACCATTGTCCTGGCTACAGCCTGCAATTCTTGTTCTAACGCTTTTTTTCTTTTTTGAATGCTTTTAACATCCAGGGATGGGAATGATTGCGCCATGATATTTGTCTGCTTTTCCGCAAGATATGCAATCATGTAACGGACTGAAATATTAATTAGTTAGCTGAAAATTCAATTTTAACTCTGAATAGTATTAAAATGTATGATATTTACCGCGTTCACTATTAAGAACCCGTTCTTTCGTTTCTTCTGTATAGCCGTCATAGAGTATACGTGTTCCAATATAATTTTTATAACTACGCCATCCCTTGATAGTAAATTTAAACTAAATATACCAAGTAAGCCGATAAAACACAAGAGAAAATATATATCCTCTATACATACTGTTCCTTGATAAAACGCGCCCAGTTGCATTACAAAAGCCACAGGATCATCGCGAAAGTGACCTGCGTGAAGACGACTAACGCAAGAATAAAGAGTTATATATGAAATGTAATGTTTGAATGCCCATAAAAAAAGCAACTTACGTCAAATTCTTTTCTTCAACCCCATTAGTGGACGAATTACGATTGAGGAATAAGGAGTCTCGGTTTGCTTCGTCACTTACGAGAGCTGGTAAAGGAGGCGAAGTAACTGTTGCTGTGATTCTGGCTTTTTCCGCGATTGAAGATATTGGCTCATCCTCGAATTCTATAGGCAGTATGAGGTGTGAATCAGCCGTCGGAGCTTCTGCCTTTGGTTCAGAGTCTGTATTTTCAGTTTTACCCATTTTTCGATAATTATTATATTCAAATTACAAGTAGAAACTAAATTTGAAAATCTTATTATAGTTTTAAAAAAAAGTTCATAAAATCGGGAATTGAAGTGGGTTGTATTACATAAATTCTCAAGAAACACAATCCTATGGGGATAAATGATGAGTTAAGCCAGTCTCCAAGAGTGAAAGGGAAATGAGGTATTTATAGAATAGGTTTTGGATAGAAAACCCCCAACTAAATTCGTACAAGTGAGTGGAGAACGATAAATATGATAAATATACATAAAAAAGTTGCAACTTTATTTTTTACGTGAGAATTCGGATCTTCAGATTATGAGTCAGGATAAGAAAACGGATAAGCAACAAAATGACTTTTGATGATTCAATTGATAGGATAAATTTGCCCGCGGAACAAAGGGATAGAAAATAGTCCCCTCTCGTGCTATTATTATACTTTGTGTTCCAACCCTAAATAACTTTGATCAACTAATGTTCAAAAACAAACATTTTTGCTAGGATATCATCATATCATAATAAAATACAAGGTCCTGAGTCCATCTCGCAAAAGTCACTACGTTGCTCACACACAAAACCACACATTTTGAGATCGATGGATCCAAGTTTATACCAACAACAACGTGAGCAACAACACCGCGCTGCATATCCATTTCCGGGTGCGCCGTTGGCGAGCTCCGCAACGAATAATAATAATAACAATAATATGGTGGGAGCAACAGAAGCAGCAGTTCCCGGTGGCTATCCTCAACCCTATAACTTTTCGAATAACTCGGCATACATGGGAGCAGCTGCCAATGGGATAAACTCGATGATGCCTAATCTTGGAAATCGTACAATGTTTACCGCGACTCCGGTTGCTGCAGTGTCATCAATGACGGCAAATGGCATGCCACCGGCAAAAAGAGTTGCGTTAGCACCACCGACAACAATGCAAAACATTTATCCGAATTTATCACAAGGATCTTTGCAAAATCAATTCTATAGCACAGGAGGGAATAACAATGACAACAACAGCAATAATAATGCCAATCAAATTCTTAGATTAGCTAGACCACCAATGCCTAATCATTCATCATTTATGAATCCAATGAGTCAGGGAATGGATATGAAATCCCAAGCAGCAGCAGCAGCAACCATGCAGGCCAATAATCCATATGCATCGATAGACAGTGTTAAATATTATGGACAATATCCACAGCAGGCACAGAAACCTGTTATTGGGATGAATAACCTAATGAATCAATCAATGCACAGTATAGTGCCGCCAGATGATAATGGAGTTGGATGGTTGGATATTGATGATACTGTTTATGATTTTAGTGGTATAACTGGTGGAGGTTTGGATCTTTCGAGTGCGTCTTCAAGTATTGGTCAAGGTATTTCTGGTTGGAATCCGAGTGTATTACAGGACAATTTTAATTATATTGCTCGCGATTCTACCAAGTCATACTCATCATCTATAAATCCAAGTCAACAACAACAATCAGAACAGACGATGACTTTATCGCAATCTCATCAATCGGATCAAAATTTACAAGGAAATTTAAACTTTATCGCGCGGACTGCCAAAACGTATAATCCATTAGATCAAAATCATCAAGATTCTTCATCATTATCCCAATCTTCGGATACAAATCAACAAATTAAGACCGCAAATCTATTGCAACAGCACCAACAACAATCACTTTCACAAACTTCTCAAAATGACATAGGAGCTCAGTCGCAGCAACCACAGACGCAATTAGAAGAATCCCAACAGCAGCAGCAACAGTTGCCGCAAGAAAATAATGACTACCAATATTCAAGTATATCTTCGCAACCATTTTCTTCAAGCGGGATGCTTAGTGGACAGGTTTCAGTATCACAAAAAAGTGTACCGAGAAATTCCACAGGCAATATACAACATAATTATCTTGATCCTACTATGCAAATGTTGTCTGGTGGCAGTAATTTATCTGCTATATATGCCAATCAAACTCATTATAATCAAACTTTACGAACATCTCCATCAAGACAGTTTCCTAAGACTTACACTAATGAATCGCTTAATTCTTTAATGGGAGGATATCCACAATCTCCGACACCACCAGGGAAACAACTGACTGATACTCGATCAATAGCGCAGCAACAACAACAGCAGCAGCAAGAAAAACATCATGTGCAATTACTTCTGCAGCGGGAGCATCAACAATTACAATTACATCAACAGCAACAAAAACTACAGCAGCAGCAACAAAAATTACAGCAACAATTTCAACAACAACAGCAACAGCAACAGCAACAACAACAGCAACAACAACAACAACAGCAACAACAGCAGCAACAACAACAACACCAACAACACCAACAACAACAACAACAACAGCAGCAGCAGCAACAACAGCAACAACAGCAGCAGCAGCAACAACAGCAGCAGCAGCAACAGCAGCAGCAGCAGCTACAGCTACAACAATCACGAGCATTGTCCTATTCGTACAGTAATTCAACTAATTCTTCAAAAAACGTCTCGCCGAATTTACGAGCAACGACCAATTCTGCAAATATAACACGCCAAAATTCTCCAAGAAAATCACCTCAGGCATCAGAAACTGATACAAATAGCATTCATTCAACAAGTTCGCATCCTACTAATCCATTAATACCTTCACAAGTTCAAGCAACCCCTTCAACTTCATCACATCCAAAACCACCAACATCCTTTATAAGAAAGCAACCACAACGACCAAATAAGGTTACTTATTACCCCAAAACCAGAACAGTAGAAACCTATGGTGGGATAGATTTAAGGGTATTCGAAAGATTTTCTATTCCCTTAAATTTACCTGGAATTCAAGATTTAGGTAATAATAATCCACGTGAAATCGATTTTCATTACAATAAAAGATGTATTCTGTTTATAATAACATCCATAATCCTATAATATTATACGCAGGTGCTGTTGATATTCACACTCTTACAATGTCACTAAAGTCTCATATGAAACTTGAAGTGACTAATGCACTCAATACACTGACCACCATTACAAGTCAGAGAAATATCACAATAGATCTGAGGCAATGCGGAGATTTGCTGGATGTATTATTAGATACACTACTAGGATACGTGGATGATTGTTCCTCGTATACAGAAGAAACAGACGAGAATCTTGGACCGGAACGTAAATTTAAAACATATCAAGAACTTGTCGAAATATCACGGCAAGAATATTTCGAACTTTCTTATGAAAGCTCGAGCGTATCGGAAGCATGGTTATCTCGTCGGGAACAATGTTGGTGTATCGCGAATTTAATAAGAAATTTTTCGTTTATGGGTGAAAATCAGTATTATCTTGCAACTCATTCTCGACTAATAACTGTATTAATGCGAATATTATACCTGGGTGAATATGATGAAAGTGACAAGAATAAGAATAAGTCGATAAAAGGAAAAGAAAAAGAAGTCGATAATGATCCACAGAATGGAAACCAAACATCAGAGAAAGAAATGAATCATAATAAAAAATCAAGTCTAATACATCAAAAGGGAGGAGCTCTTGATATTCTTGATTATCGCAAAAGCATGCTGATCATTTTATCGAACATTGCTTCTTACCTCATACTACCTTCCGTTAGCATAAGCAGAGATCTTTTAGCAATGCTAGCCGATTTTCTAGAACACACCGAAGACTATTATGCACAAGTGGCGTTGGAAGTCCTGGCAAAAATATCGGTGGCATATGAAAATCGACAATTAATTGGCGGATGTCCGGAATCGACCATACTCTCGGTATTCAATTGTTTGATAAGAATGTTACCGCGTGGAGATAGAATTGACCCTAATCGAGCTTTACAAGAACTGGCAAATTTGGAGAGCGTGGTTATGGCGTTGTATAATCTTGCATGTTTGAGTAACGAGACTTTAAGACGAAGAATGGCAAATACTGCTGGATTTGTGCATCGAATGCTGAAAATGTCAATAACATTAGCCAGTATAAGCAATGATATATTCATAATATTATGTCGAAGAGCGATAGAAACATTGAAATTGCTGGCGAAAGGCAACGAAAGTGTTTTCCTTGTATATAATGAACAATTAATGCATGCTCTATTGACACCATATATAGACCCAATCGTGGAAAGAGACTTGGAGTCAATTATGTACCCGGGTGATGTTTAGTATTGACTGCTAATACTACTTTAGTATTGGTGGAGGGGGCAGAAATCTGTTACTATAATGGTGGGTGGTTGAATGTTGTTATTAATATTAGTTGGTTAATTGTTAATATCGGGAGATTTAATAAATAAATATTACATAGTTATATATTCAATATTCACAGAATAAAAGTATGAAAGTTTGAATTTCAAATTTTCTATATTTTTCATGTCCGATAACCAAGTGGGTTGCCCAAATTAAAATAAGTTTAGCGTAAGAGTAAGGGCTAATGCTGGTGAGCTTTAGCAATTTCAAATTCTGGATCATTTCTGGGTCATGGAAGATTTTCGAATTTAAGTATGCAGATCAAAAGAACCCTGATTTATGTATGATTAACGCGCGTTTTTATCGGTTTTAGAAATTTACATTTGAACAAAGTTTTTATTTGTTGGCTTATTTGACAAGTGTTCGGGCGTTTTTTAGGTCAGCATTCAAGCATTGATTACGTACCCTTCGGTAGTTCCTTTGGCGATAGAAGGGCGTAAACCACCATTGCTAGGTTGCTATCGAATTTATAGCCTGAAAAAACCGCGATTCCACCGCCGAGCCTTATATATTACTATAGATATTATTATTAAGAACGATAAAAATTGAGAATAGGTGACTACCGCATAAAACCCTGGAGCCACGCAGATTCTTTAGTATAACCTTTTGGTGATAAGGCAATTTCAGTGTTTACAGTCAAAGCTTTATATAACGACAATGATGGATCGTTATAATTGTTATATTATTATAATCAAATCTCGCTATATAAGGGTCGTTATGTAATATATTATCACTGCCATCATGAAGCAAACATAAAGCTTCTAAAACTCTGTAAGGCCAATTTCATTTTAAGGTTTTTCAACAAATAATAAGCTGCCATTTCTGCAAAATAACAACTAAGCTGAAAAAATTTATTTATCTATTTACACAATAGAAATTTTCTTGTATTAAACTTTATTTAAATAAGTGTCATTTTTCATTATGACATTATAATTGTGCTTTGTTTTGACTTTCTTTTTCTCATTTATGTTATATTATTTGTTCACAAGGAAAGTAGTTCTAGAAGAGTTGTTAGATGAAGATTGTTGTTTATCATTTATGAATTATAAAGCTGTAAATAATGATTATAATTGGATTAAAAGGGCTGTGATATTTGTTGTATTGGAATTATTTGTGGTTGACCAATTGTTGTGACTGGTATTATTTTGAATATTGTTGTCTTGGTTTTGGTTTTGTCTTGGCTGATTTTTTTAGTTATTGTTACTTTGACCTGTATTTCATTGAAAATTCTCAGAGTTGAATATTCTGCTGCTGTTTGAGAATTACTTTGATGAATTGATCCAGGCAATGCTTATCTAAAATATCTAAAAGTAATGTTATTTGTTAATGAATTGAAATCAGAAATCAAATTCTTTGTTAATCCTGCTAGATCAGATACTTTGAACATTGCAATTCACATCACTCAACTATATGGATCTAGTTATCAACAATTTACTGAACCAACTGTTAATATAACTATTAGATTCTTAAATATTCCAATCATATTACAACAATTAAATGATTTAAATCAAGTCTCACAATAATTAACTGCTTTTACTAGTCAATTAGAAACTTTATCAACTAATAATAATAATAATCAACAAAATAATACATCCAATAGAAGAATATTCAACCAATTACAAAAGTATACTCAACTACCAATTTAAGGATGCTTGCCTAAATTCTTTCAGAAGAATATTGTCATAATTTTGACAAGTTATACACTAATTGTTAATTAAAATTTTGATATAATTTTAGTTACGACAGATTTCAAAATTCATCAGAATTTTGATGAATTATTTACTAATAATTTATTATAATTTTAACAGAATTTCAACAATTATTAAGGGATTTCAGCAAGCAACCTTACATCAACTTGTTATAATTATAAAAAACTTGAATATATGGCTATTCACTGTCAAAGCAAGTATAATAATGACTATAACAATAATAATAATAATAATAAATCTAATCAATATCATAATAATAATAATAATAATTATAATAAAAAACTTCTTTTTGCATCTCTTCCCTGTCGATCTCTCGACCGGGCAGAGCCACACTTTACCAAGCGCAAAACTTCCTTCTCAACACAATAAAGTCATTATACAATACACAGATTCTACTAACAGAAAATCTTTACTCGTCTTATATCTTTATTTTTTACTATTTCTTAACGCTACTTTAATTTTACGTTTCTTTGTCTTCTTCTATTTTCTTTTTCCTTAAAAAACTCTATAAAAAACAAAAATAATAAAAATCTTAAAAACATACAAAAATATACATATTTATAATATTCCCTCCTAACACTTCACCATCATGTCCACTAACAACACCAAAAATAAAAGAACTGCTAACTCTTCTTCTTCTTCTTCACCTATATACACTACTGTACAAAATTTCTTAGGTTTATCTTCCTCGTCTTCAAATAATACCGACAAGCAAACCCCTGTTAGCAAACCAGATAATTCATCCGATCTCCAATCTTCCCAGCAAACAATCCACAACACACAATCACAAGCTAATCGCACCAAAAAAGCAAAAACTGATCATATCGATGAAATGGAATCAGTCAACACAAAACAAACAAACAACTCGCTTCAAGTAGATAATACACACACAGCCTCATCTCAATCAGCTGACTTTGAAGCAAATCCTTCCTCATCTAACAACGCACATGTTCTTTCTTCTACGTTATACAATAAATACACAATTAACCCAACCTCATTATCTCATAATACAACCCCAAAAATTATATCCCCCGATTCTGCTGACAACCAATGGATCACCATACACAGCACTAAACGATTCAGAGGATGGATCAAAGAATCATCACTTCCTGAAAACAACACTAAAGACAACATCAAGTATATCAACAACATCTTTCAATACAATTCAGACTTCTTAAGAGCCAAATCATTCTCTCTTGATCAAATAAATTATATTTGTACTGAATTTGCATCAAACAAATCTCTTCAGTCAGCTCTAGACATCCCAGTAAATGACAACTACATCTCTGACAAAAAACCACAACCTCTCAATCCAATTGACCCAACGACAATTGCAGCATTAAGAGATGTTCCTCTCGGAACATCTAAAGATCAGATTCAACACATCATGGAAAAATTCGGAAAAATCATCAACATAACTCAAAAAATCACATCC